TAACTTACGATGGTTGCCAAGGGCAGCGGCCACTTCCATATCTGACGCACGATGAGACCACCAAGATTCGCGGTCCAACCATGGGCGATCCACCTGAAGACTCAACCATGACACCGATAGCTCAGAGCCGGAGACAATCATTGGCAGATAATAAACAGGTAACGTACGCATCAATTGCCTCGCTAACCACACCGGGAGCAACACAGGTAGGTCCATCTTCTGTACCGAGCACACGTGGAGCGACGCAGCTTTCACTGTCAACACCAGTAGTGCCTTCCAAACAGCCCAAATTGCCAGCAACAACTTTACAGCCCAAACTCGCTAGACAAAACCACGTTGCGTTAACTCTGGTGTGCACCAATGTTCCCTAATCCAAACCTGGCACAATAAAAGTAAGTTGCAAGACGATCACAACCAATGGAGGTCCATCTGCGATGCGATTGATATTCGGGTTGAGCCTGCAATGTTGCAACGCATAACGCGTCACCCGACCTCAGTGCACTCTGGTGAACCTCGAATTCATTGAGTAACACTAGACTCAGCAAATGAGACAGAGGCTATCCTGCTGTCAGCAGTTCGTCTTCGCAACTCAGCGAACGGAGTGCGCATATTACCCGATCTCCCTTGGCAAGATCGCCCAAAGGAAGCAGTTGACCAGTGCGGCATTCCTAATAAGGCTAGCAAGAAAACAATATGTGTTCATGGTGTTCCCGAGCTTCTGAATTATTCTGCTCATGGTACGCAAACCCATGACCGAGAGCAATGGTGCTGAATCCGCGAAGCACACTCTCTTGACAATCTTATTACCAAGTCCTCGCCAAGAGTTCCGCCATCACGTAACTACAAAGGCTACGGTCCAAGAATAACAAAGTAGTATTACGCTCCGAGGGAGTGACGCAAGTTCTGTTAAATAGCTGGTCAAAGTTTCGATCCAGGTTGCCAACCGAGATCCGGCTAAAGGCAGCAGGCGCACGGCCACGAGTCGTAAGCAGTTCCACAGAACTTGCAAACGCCGTAAATTCTTTATCCGCATAGTCCTGCGGAGAGAGCGACACAACAGCACTCGCGGCACACAACAGGATAAAGCGCAGCGCGAGCGAAACTTCGGTTCAGGAAAGCTCAACAATGCTATGCAACTTGACTGAAATTCATTAACCAGAAAGCAATTTAAGGGCGGCTACCTACGTTCAGCTTAAAAACAATCACCAATTTGTCATCCATCAACGCACTCCCAACAACGAAAATACTATACTGTATGTACACAAACGCAGGAGGCCTTGTAAGTTGGTCGAACTTGGAGAACTCCATGATTCACAACCGCGGGTCCTCCTCGTGATTACAGTGTCTTTGTTAAACCCTGACAACCGATTCTGAGATCAATTTACCCGATATGTCGCTGCTTCGGACCGATAGAACCGGAAGGGCTGGCGGTGTGATTCTTTATTATAATACAAATCTCCGATGTGAAGTTATCGATCACCCGGAAATCCGCGCTCCTGATTCATTTTGATGCCGCCTATGGTTGCGGAACAAGGACACAAGTCTACTAGCCGTAATATACCGTCCAAGAAACTCGTCGGAAATGGACTCCAAACTGAATCACATTTTTCAGTTTGCTTTGTACGAGTCCTACAGCCACATCCTTATCGCTGGCAACTTCAATGTGCACGACATGTATGTATGTATGTAATCTCGACATTCTAGCAACTAGACATGGAGCTATCAAAAACCATGGAGATCAGGGGAAGTCATCATGGCATAGTACTTAAAGGTGAGCAACACACTTCAGCAACCTGTGGTGCGCAGTTTAAAGCCTGCTTGCAATGGCTTATTGCTAGCCACCCTCTGTACAACCAGGTAACCTTTCCCACCAGATTTCGGACTGCTAACAGGCCGTCGATACTCGATTTTGTGCTCACAACCAAATAACTCATGGTCGATGGGGTAGTTACAAGCATACCACTGGTCCGCAGTGGGCATGTAACTCTATTCTTTGACTATTTATGCTTTGCGGAGTATTCTGCAATGGAACATGATAAAGTATATATATATATATATATATATATATATATATATATATATATTACCAATTATAATGTAATTGGCTGAGTGCCAGAACACATAAGAATAAAAAATAGCGTGTACGGGAAAACAACTGTTAGGATGGAAGTGTCTCGCAGCAAGTGCGCCTTTGCGTACGGTCCTTGGCCATATCCTCTATCGTTTGCAACCAGATATGCTGGGGGTACTTTGGTCCTCAACCCGGGTCTCGGGAACTCCTGACAACAACCAGCTTCAACGTTTGCGCCTTAAAGCATTGGATCCAAGTTTTAACTTACCCTCCTTTTCCTAGCTTCCATGCCGCGCCTGTGCTCCCAAATAAGGGCTCGTCGTGATAGCCGCTAGGGAGGCATGTGGGGCACATGCCCAAACCAGCGAAGCCTCCACAGTGAAATGATGCTATCAATCGGTCGGCCGAATTCGTTCGATCTGAAGAATCGAAAATGACAAAATGCATACTGTCACTCATTATAACGTGTTGTCTACGCTTGTTAAGGATACATCTTGGACTTTCTTAACCGAATGCCCTCCCCCCCACATATTGTCTGGGAAACCGTTACTAGGACGTTTAGCACACTGGTGGTGCACGCATCAGAACAGCATTCCTTCCAATGTGAAAACAAATATCAGTCATTTCTCAGAAACAGAACACGTAAATGTATGTCCCGGAGGAATTTGGCATGGCGAGATCACAAGGACGGCCCGAATGTCGAAAGGTGGACTGCATGCGTGACACATCGTAACTTCTGTGTGAAACTGATCCGCGAGGACAAAGTCACGCATCAGCAGTAGTTAATGAAGCTATTCTGCACGAACCGCAAACCTCTGTACAGGCACGTTAATGGCCTTCGAAATGTAAAGCGGGGAATTCCACCACTGGTCACGGCTGATGGATGTACGCGGTCAGCAAAGGAAGCAGCTGATCTCCTACGGCTTCAGTACTCCGAAACTTTCCAGTAGGTAACGAGCCCACATATTCTCCTTCTTTCTATTACTCCACTGTTGGGTTTAGACAACATCACCTTCACAGCGGAAGCTGTGTTGAAGAAGTAGTTATCTTTGCATATACACAGTTCTCCTGAGTCGACAACCTCCGACCGAAGGCTCTGCAAACAGTAGTTAGTGATCTCGCAGAACCACAGGCCGTCTTTTTATTAGCGATGTCTAGAGGATAACTATATTCTATCAGTATGCAAGCGTGGGGTCATCGCTCCTATCCAAAAGGAGGTAGCCGCACTGACCCTACCAACTACCAACTACTTCCTGTACTATCCAAAGTGATGGAATCGATCATCGCAGATGCGCTGATGCAATAACTGAGAAGCCACAACTTAATAGCCCCAGAGAAACATAGCTTTCGTCAAAAGCGTTCATGCACAACTAATCTATTACTTGCTGGACTGAATCCGTTGATGAAGGAGCAGGAGTCGGTGTCATCTCCCTGGACTTCTCAAAAGGGTTTGATAGCTTAGACTATCGATTTCTCCTTCAGAACCTTTGGAACTACGGCACTAGCGACCCAATCCTGAGTTGGATTGGCAATTTTCTACACGATCCTCGGTTAGAGGTGACAGTCCTGGAATCACTGTCCGAGGCAATGTATGTGGTGTGTGGTGTACCGCAAGGTTCGGTATTAGGGCTTTGTTCATTCATGGTGTTCAGTAACGATTCGTCGAGATGAATTGCTTCCGATTTCCTATTTTTCGCAGATCATATCAAGATATGGCGGAAGATCAGAGGACCGGACGACAAGGAACGGCTCCAGTGCGATCTTAACACGGTGTCGAACTGGTCCGTTTAAAACGGTCTATCATCCAACGTAGAAAAATGTCACACTGTTCAATTACGCCATAGACTTGACTACAGGTATTTGCTTGGGGCACACGGATTGCAGACCAGCTCCCAGGAAGGTGACCTTGGTGTGCTCGTACAGAGTGACCACAACTGTTCCAAGCAGCTTGAGATAGCTGCGAAAAGCGGCAACCAGCCCGTCGTCATGCTGCGAAGGGCATTCGGGAGATTTGCCCCATCAATCTTCCCATTGGTGCACCATTCATATATGCACCTACGCCCACACGTTGAATATGCTATCCAAGCTTGGCAACCTAAGTTGAAACGCGACTTAAAGGCGTTAGAAGCACCACAACGAAGCGCAACGAAGAATATAAGTTGCATGCGAATGCTGCTGTTTATGGGAATTTTCAGCGGGCGCTGCCGAAGGCTGCGCAGAGATCTCATACTTGCCTACCAAATATTGGGTGACCTCAACCACGTATGCCGCCATTTGCTGAAACTTAGTCACAACACGCAGCTCAGGGGTAACTGCTTGAAATTGAGGAAACAATATAGCCGTCTAGAGTTTCGACGTAATTACTTTTCACTTCGGATTTTCAGATCCTGGACCGCACTCCCAAACTCAGTTGTGTCCTCCCCTGTTTTGAACCTTTTCGAAAAACGGTTGGATGTTGGTCTTAGCTCCCAACACTTTGTTACCTAAATTACACCATTTTGGATTACGTTAAGCATTCGCTTCTACAGGATTTATGTGTCGCATGGACCCAAGAAGACGGCTCATAAGTGAGCGACCATATTTTACTTTTCTCACGCCTTACATCAACGACCACTGCACCCCGTGTATTTCTGCAGGCTTACACTCGATTTATATTTTACACTGATGTTACTTATCAAAGTATTCATCTCGGCAGATGTTCGGTAGATGACGCAGATATATTTTGATTTCATCGTATTCACCCCAGCCCTCCTACGGGATTTGTCAAACGCTTGCTTTTATCCCATGATAAATCATCGTTCCTTGTTTAAATAACTCTGTCTAGCCGTTTCTGCTACTAACGAAATGTACTTATGTGTCCTCATTTTCAGCCGATATGTATACTGTAATGTCACAAAATTATTCAACCGTTTTGCCGTCACACTTACAGCACTGCAGACAAAGGATTGAGAGCGATCTCTACTGGATCCCAAGCACGACCTTTCCGACAGTCTTCAGTAAATAGTTCCAATCAAAACACAGTTAACTTACGGCAGTCGGAAGCACATAGTTGGGGTTCGGATAGAAGCCAGGACAACACCAGTCTGCTGGGGAACCCAACAGTGCGTTTCCATGAGAAACTGCTAGACCATCAAATTGTGGCCTATGTTTCCGGACTCGGTTTCGGCGCGATGACATGCATTGTCGAGCTGCTTCGCACCCTTATCGATTCCCAAGGACCTGGTATCTACTTCGATCTGTGGGAGTCGAAATGCTTCTTTATTGTTGCCGGTAAGTGACACTTTTCCCATTGAATCCCATACCACCTTTTACCAGATTAAACTGCATTTGAGGTTTCTTTTGAATCTAACCATCTACCACCATGCGGATGGTCTATATTATGAACTTGCTTATGAACGCTGGATGCTCCCACAGACGACGACGTATGATGCAAATGTAAAGACAGTCGCAAAGCTCCACTCAGCAGCCACAATACATGTTCACCATATCGCATCGTTCTGCTTAATTTCCCCTTAGTGATGCGCGCACACTGATCGTCACACGCTGTTCATGAAGACATTTGGGTACATTATTCTGCTAGAGTGATTAATGACTCGCTTTCTACGCAGCTGTCTACTACAGCCTCTTCGTTTCTTCTGTACGCTCAAATTTAGAGTTTAATACTCTCTCGTTACATTGTACCGGGCTATCGCCTTGCAGTGTGTCATGTTTGTTCGTTGACCAGCTCAGCGATCGCTTGCTCGAATGAAGATTGAACACGTTTTAGGTTGTCTCAGGATTGTAAAACAGTGGATCACCTTCAGTATTTCCGTCAGTGCAGTGAGAAGACAAGCTGCGATATGTCAACATTTCGACTATTCTCCGTCGCAAACACAATACAAGTGGAATACATTGACAGTCATGTACTGGTAAAATTGGCACGCCAATCAAATGTCAAAATTAAGTCCACGGTAACGTGATTGATTGTCTCAATAGTTTCTGTGCACACATGGCTGGCGGCATCCGGTTTCGGATTTGCCTGTCACTGTGGTCAGTCACAGGACGCCTGCGCCTACAGGGGGACCATGGATGGCTTGCGCTGCACCACCCACAGCTCCAACCACACACACCCCATATCCAGTGTAAACCCGAAGGAATAAGACCGGGAGGCATGCGGATGGGAGCCACGTTTCATCAACGGAGCCGGCCCACACTCCTTCACAGACAAACACAAGCACACTGTATTTGGGGAATCAAGTACACACAAGGCGGTGGCTGGACCGTAGTCCGCTCCACACTGAGTGCGTGGAACCACTCTTCAAGCCTAGCACGACCACAATGACCGTGCACCCCGTCCCCTCCAGCAACGACTAACTGTCCCCTAGAACCAGTATGGACGAGGTAGTGGGTAATAGAGAGGTAGGCACCTTGTCAATATGCACATCAAGCGCAGCCACACCTCGGATGTCAAACAACAGCCAATCATTCGAAATGCCAAAATCGTTTAAAGTAAACGCATATGACGACATAAATACTCGCTAAATGGGCATATAGAAGAAATTGGTTATAAGTGAATCCGTGATAAGTACAAAATGTCCGAAAGTAAGTTAAAAAATACCACGCTGTAAAATTAAGCAAGTTTACCAGGATTTGCGTGAGCGAAGTGTGCAAGTAAGGAGAAGATTAGCAAGTACGCAGAACAAACCAAATAACATGTAATGAATTTTATCCCCATCAAAAAGACCTAGTTTAAGTGTAAGTTGGTTTAGCCCAACTGCGGTGAAGAAGCATCATGAATGCAACATCAGCCTCAGCTGTGTGCTGTGCACACAACACAAGCGGATAAGCCCTAATTAGCAAAGCCTCACTAGTTGCTAAAATTAGCAGGTCCTTGTTGCGTTATAACACCTTAAACGCAGTCTCCAGGTTTACCTGATGTCGAGTTGTCAAGAGATGTTTGGTGATAGATGATGCTGGGCTCCGGTTCATCCCCGGATCCACTCCGTTTCGTTGCGTCATCAGTTGTTCCAACCACCTCGGCACATATTCAGCTGCCCTCTAAGCTAACTGGCGGTCAATCCTGCCTATGTAAATGTCACCGCAATCGCAGATGAACTGGTAAACGACGTGAGATGCCGAACTGACTAATGAGTTGCTCTGACGGTCATGAAGAACAAGGCTTCGCGTTGTATGTATGAGTCACAACTGAGCGGTGGCCTAGCTGCGCGTAAGAGCGGACTGGAGTTTTTGTCCGATATCATTTGATACATGGTCTCCTTTGAACGGCAAGAACAAATAAACCTTTTTCTCTGCAGTTAACACCGGTGTTTTCTCCTTAGGTGGCCTGCTATGGATCTGAATGAACTTCTCAGGATATCCATTTAACGCCAAGGTTCTGTACAAGAATTCCTCTTCAGCTTGTAATATTTCGGGCCTGCGTATCCGTCTGCCTCGGTGGAAGAGCGTGTTCACTAGGACACGTTTGTACGCGACCGGGGCTAAGCTGGAAAAGTGGAGATACTGCTCGCTCCAAGTTGCCTTGCGATGAACCGTGCGCTGTAGTGTACCATCGGTCCGTCTCTTAATGAATATATCCAAAAATGGCGAACTATCGTGTTGCAGCCAAACTGCCGAACTCAGCGAACTCTCAGACCACCAACTGAGCTACCAACATTTGCTTCTATACCATATGTTTCTATTCTTATGTATTGCGGCACGACATATGAGGTGTTTTCCACCTCTAGCTAGCTTTTCGTAAAATCCTGACGCCAGTATAAGCGCAGTTTTGATGTGCCACAACATGCGATGATTGCTCATCAATGACTTAGTCCGAAGCTTATGCATTCACATCTCCTAACTATTGTTATATCGTTATAATGAAAAAATCTTCGGCGCATTCATCTCATTCAAGGTATCTGTCATCTGCTTTTGCTTAACTGTTTCAGCGTTTCAAGCATCTTGTCTGTCAGTCACTCAGATCTTTTGGTCGGTCATTTTGTTCAGCGCTTTCGAAACTCGTTCGTATGGTTCCATAGCACTGGTCTTTGTGGTTCATGTGGCTATGTCCTGTTTGGTAAGTCATGTTTCGCTGCTCTCTTATTGGTTTAACTCGACTTTGTGCACCTTCTTACGCTTACTTTATACTTGCTGAATACAGCTGGAGGATTGTGCGTTGTTTCCCACACGGTCTTTGGTGGCACATAGCGGTGGTTCACCTTTCTTCCTTGTGTTCATACTACGTTGAGGTTCAACCTTCAGTTACCTCCAGATTCATCTATTCATTACCCCTAATGGATATGGGTCGTACGAATCACGAACGTACTATCCTCCACATTCCAAAGTTGTAGAGTTGTGGATATATCAGTTGTAGAGTTATCAGTACGAATGTCACGGTTCACGTTTGTTGGTTAAACTATGCTTTGCCGGTGATGACCCGTCCCCTCACCTTTCAGCCTCTCTGGGGCACCAAGTTTCTAACCCCTTATTACTCCGTTGGTTGCTGGTAAGCGGCGTATCGTGTCTTGGGACTGAAATACCTACGCTGACCCTTCTGGCGATGGCGGAGGTAGCTTGTGGCTGGTTTTCGACCTTGTGCTGACTGCATTCTGCAGTCACACTCCAGCTCCGTAACGTCCCCATCAACGTATCGGCTGGGCGGTTTGGCCGCGACGATAGCAGTGGTCTCCATAGCAGATCCATGTTCATCCTACTCCCCTAGGGGGCGGGCCTTTAATCAAAAGGAGGATTGTTACTTCCAAATTTGACACTAAAAGTGCGATTTACTTGCAGCAACTGCATATCTGTTTCTTCTGTGTTACGATAACTAAGGGGTAGTTTCACCGACTTTATCACTCGCATAAACATCCTCCAACCGTAAGACTTTATTTTACATAGTAATGTCTGCGAATTTTGTCCGACATTGCATTCGCCGGTCTTCTTGCGTTTCCCATTTCAAACTAATGGGCATTACTTCCTAGCCTCATCTGATTTGTTATTCCAATAGCTCAGTTTTATAACCTTGTGTTCTTCGTTTTTTCTTGTGGATTGAAAACTGACAACCGCTGCATTTAGCTACTCCACTCGTAATGTGTCATCCGAACTGGACTTACCTCTTTTGTCCTTACCCTCACTTCATTGTCCAATAAAAGTTACATATCTGCATCTGTTGCGGTGTCGCAGGGCTCCAGGTGTGTTACGCACATGAAATACAGGCTTGCTAGGAATGTGTTATCAGATGTAACACCTGCCGCTTTCTGCATGTTCATGCGGTGAATTGTAACTGGTTAAGAACTGCGTTCTATAGACTGTTTTGCACATGCGGAACTACTCGTTTTATTCAAGGCTGTACTACTTCTTGTCGATGACCGAACCAGTCAGTAAGTCGGACGGATTTTGCTAATGTAACGATTTACTTCTGTGTGATTAATCGCAATTAATTAATTGACGTCAACAAGGTAACGCCTCATTCCCCGAAAGAGAGCACGAGACACTCTGCTTTATTTTCAAATGAGCCCGAGCTCCCACCGTGTCCTGCTCTGGCAATACACTGCTTGGACCTCAGTCGGATCCGCCAATTCGTTTTCAGACCAAAGGCCATCAATCGATCACTCGACTCCACGAACAACCTATCTGTTAGGCCCAGCTATGCTCAGCGCTCACTCAGTACTCTACTCTTGTCAATCACAGGCGAACGCTGCGCGACAAAAATCATGAGAGCAAAACAGAGCACGGTACCTTTCGAGGTCAGCTCTGTCTAATGACCGGTGATCATATCAGATATCTAAAAAATGGGTTTAGCGGTGGAAAAGGATGGTGTAGGTAGTTCGCACTATTTTACTTCTCTTACTCTAGCCATCCTTTTTGACCATAACTCTTACGCAGCATGGGACCACACCATTCCTCCATCACGGAGGCTACTACGAAGAAATGACCGTCGTGTTAGCGTTTATTTACCACCCCTGAAGGTCACTTCGGTAGATCACGCTCATTCGCAACCTGGTTCCATCTTCACTCCACATTTTACTCTTGCTATCGGTCTTCTGCTTTATACTCTATGATATCTCATCGGCTATCGTTTGCACTCTCGCAAATCAAAGTCCTTCTCCAAGATTGACAGGGACCCACTTCTGCGCTGGCGATGGTGATCAGCTAAAAGTCGTTCGGAAATTAAAGTGTCTAGGCAACTATATTAGCCTCCGATGGCAAAACCTCGATTCGCTTTCGACAGTCGTCACCACCTGTGATGCTGGCTTGACATCTTACTCACCCCGAGGGACAGAGTTTGCAATGCAGTCATCCGTTCAACCTTCCTACACGGATGCGCAACTTGGCCCACCAGGTCGACAGATATAAAGAGACTTGTTACGTTCAATCATCGCTGCCTTCCCAGCTTAGCTCAAGTCTGGTGGAAACCCCGCCTGAGCAATGAGTATCATAGGCCACGTGTATGTGATGCGAGAAGAGCGAATGAATCGTTCCGCACCGTTTTTTCACTCACCAGGGTTCGATGGCCGGGTCATATGTTGCGCATGCCAGCCCACCGACTCCCGCATCATTTGCGCGGCGGGAGTCTTGATGGACGAAGAGCAGGGGTGGTCAGTGGATGCCTTGGTCAAAAGGAATGAAGTCCTTCATTTCTAAGTTGGCTTCGGTTGCTGTCCTCCGACTACCGCGCTGTGGTCCGAAGGACTATGAACACATCTGGTTAGATACACTTGCTGACATGTCGAATAACCGGCCTCTATGGCGTTTACGTTGTGAGTGTCTTTTCACTTTCCATCCATCTTAGCTTCCCCCTCCAAACACGTTCTCATACCTGGTGCGCAATATGATATTGGGCGTCATATTACTTTTTTGGTTTTTTGCACCCTATTCTGTAATGTTTTATATCATGTATTTTCCATATATCTTTTATATTGCGGCACATTAGATGAGCTTTTCCTCAATTTCAGCCAACTTGTAAAAACGATGATGTTGATGATTACTCGCACACCTCACCCATCTGTACTTTTCCTCTCTTCAGTCCCTCGCAAACAGATTCCGGTCTCCTTGGCCTGAGGTGATATGTGCGTGTTACTTACTAATAACCATTTGCATGGGCATTTTTGCATACGTTGCAGTGCGAGGCAAGTGCCGCTCTTTCCTCCGACAAGCGCCGAATTCACCAATCAGTCGCGCAGCAGGTGACTCTTAGAACGGGTACATTTCGAATGATGATAATGATGATCTCTAGATTGTCTATACTTTGTTCGATTTTTAATTTTTTGAGTTTTTGTTCCTTTTTTAATTTATGGTTCCCGGTTGGCTGTAGCCATATAATCGCGCGATCAAGCATTATGACTTCTCATTTGCGCATATTACAATCGTTGCTTAATTATACTTTGTTCTGTTGGAGAAATATACTATCGCTTCTTAAGCACCTATGGCAGACGTACAAATGCACAACAAAGCTTCTATCTATGGAATCAATGCTACGTCCTTTTGGTTTGCCGTTGTCAAATCATGATAATCCGAGTCAGCAGTGCCGGAATAACCGTCACATTGACTCACCTACATGTACGATTGATGCAAGATCCCCACAGTGCAAAGCGGATTATAATTCACAGTGCAACCGGTGGAAATGGAAATTGGTGACGACTTGCTGACAGTTTGACACAAATGGGGAACACGTCAGATGAAAAAACGGAATAAATCGCTTTACTTCAAGCATTCAGAGGTTTTTAGAAGTCAACTTGACAAACTAACGCTCATTGCTGTCAGTACATCTGCTTAATATTTGCTAGAAACCACTTAAGAAACAGCATTCAGGAGAATATGCTAAAAATGATGAACTGCCGTCGTCTGTTAGTGCTTCATTGCAGATACATGTGATTACGCGCTCGTTCACATGGGGGCTCTTCCTCATAACTTTACTGACGCTAAAAGGAGAATGCAGGAAGCGAAAAGATGAAGCCGAAATTATAAGGGAACAAATCACCCCGCGTCTCGCGTTAGTAGATCGGATGTGAGGCGGATACAGCGACCGTTTGCACTTCAAAATTAAACGATTGTACTTTGAATTGGACTCTACGATCCCTCAATTGGAGTAGTTCACAGCTAACGTAATTGTAGTAGCAGCTGAGGGCTGCGCCGTTTGATGGTGTACCCGCACTACTGGAGGCAAAATGCGACCAATGAACGAATACAATAAAAGTAAACGAAAGCGGCGTTGATTAACCATGACAGGAATCATTCGGGCAATTCCGTATATTCAGAAATTTACTTGACTAGTAGCTTGGGTCTCGTATGTGTGCCTAACGTCGCAAAACTGATATGCTATCAATCTGCGATGCATGGGCATCAATTCATGTCTGGACTGGTCCGTTACTATTGTTAGCTAATTGAAACTGCTTAACCGAACGATTCGACATCACCTGGATGGTCAGTGGATAATTACACCTAGCAGAATGTTTATCAAACGACCCACGGAGCAGTGTTGGTCTGACACTCGATCAATTGCGCAAAGCGCACAAGCCGATATAAAATGCTCTGTCATGGTTTCGTCTATTTCTCCTGCATGACAGCAAACATGGATCCTTATTCCGAACACAGCTATCTACTGTTAGATATCTAGTATGGTGATGCCACGGTAGAATACGTCCGTGCAGTACCAATGGTCAACAGCTGAATGACAACAACAGGAGTTGTGAACATGTTGACAAAAATGGGTTCAGATTGATGGGTTTTGTCAGCATGAGCTATTGGGGTATTTCACTTACGTACGACTGGTATCATGTACTAAATAACCTTGAAACCTAAATAACATGCATTTTGTTCACTATATTTTTAGATAATTGCTGGTTTTGTGGGTCGTGTAATTTTGTAGAAAATAGAATCCACGATTAATCTTTACACAGTAATCCGTACGTCCGGGTTTCTAGTCCCCATCGAGACAGGTTATATCCGTATATCCGGGGTTCGAGTCCCCGTCGAGGCAGATTATTATGCAAGGTTTAATCGTGGCTTCTGCTTTCTACAAACATTATATTTCTGTGGACACATGTTGTTATAACGGTACTGAAACTTCGGGGTGCAGTAAACTTCGCACCCGATATTGCTGAAGGAGATGGAGGCTTTCACTGATTCCCCGTTATGTTTCATGGACTGTCAGCAAAGCTGGAAAACATAGTAACTGTATATTTTCCGTATTCGTAACCATTCATGGTCGGTGAGTTACTAGCTCGAACCAGCAAGCACCGGAGGTCATGATATAAAACATGTGCGCTCTAAGCATTCGTACATATGGTCTATGCTAGTCATAATGTGTACACGAGTTTGACGAGGTCCTAGTCGAAATGATATATATATATATATATATATATATATATATGGCGGTTGAACTGTTCGCTGTGCTTCGCAATTTTGTTGCAAACGTTTCGTCCCCAATCGAGGTGACATCCACAGTGCGTAGTTGAGTGGCGTGCGGTAGCGTAGAGGAGCCTCTCACCACGTCCATACTGACTCCTGGAGACAGTTGGTCGTTACTGGAGGGGACGGGGTGCACGGTCCTTGTGACTGTGTTAGGCTCGAAGAGCGGTTCCATGCACTCAGTGTTTAGCGGACTACGGTCCAGCCACCGCCTTATGTGCGCTTGATTCCCAAATATATGTGAAGGAGAGTGGGCCGGCTCGGTTGATGAAACGCGGCTCCCATCCACATGCCTCCCGGTCTTATTCCTTCGGATTTACACTGGATATGGTGTGTGTGGTTGGAGCTGTGGATGCTTAAGCGCAAGCCACCTGTGGTCCCTCTGTAGGCGTCCGGTTTCGGATTTGCCTGTCACTGTGGCCAGTCACAGGACGCCTGCGCCTACAGAGGGACCATTGGTGGCTTCCGCTGCACCCTCCACAGCTCCAACCACCCACCCCATATCCAGTGTAAACCAGAAGGAATAAGACAGCGAGGCTTGTGCATGGGAGCCACGTTTCATTAACGGATCCGGCCCATACTCCTTCACAGGCAAACACAAGCACGCTGTATTTGGGGAATCAAGCGCACACAAGACGGTGTCTGGACTGTAGTCCGTTCCACACTGAGTGCATGGAAGCACTCTTCGAGCCTAGCACGGCCACATGGATCGTGCACTCCGTCCCCTCCAGCAACGGCCAACTGTCTCCTGGAGCCAGTATGGACGAGGTGGTGGGTAATAGAGAGGTAGGCACCTTGTCAACATGCACATCAAGCGCAGCCACACCGGGGATATTAAACAACAACCATTCACTTGAAACAACAAGCTAGAATAAAATAATTCCACTAATGCATACAAATACGGTGGCATAACAATTCGCTAAGTTACCATATGAAGTAAGTTGGTTAGCAACGAATCCGCGATAAGTAAGAAATGTCCACAAGTTACTTAAAACTGCTACAAACGCAACAAAGTTACCGAAGATAAGCGCAGTTTGCGTAAGAAACGTGGTCAGTTAATAGAAGATTATTCAGGTAGGCAGAACAAACCAAATAAACTGGAATGAAATTTATCCAGCTTAAAAGACCTAGTTTAAGTGTAATGTAGTTTAGCACAACTGCGGTAAAGAAGCATCAAGAATGCAACATTAACCTCCGCATGATATATATATATATATATTTCGGGCGGGAGAGCCTATGGTTCGCTGAGGCTGGTGCTGGCTATATCCTGACAGATGGTCTACCCACTGCTGCTAACGCCATATTATGGCTCATGTCCTAGGCGCCTCGTGGCGACCGCTGCGTGGGAGTTGGTTTATCCCCTTCTCCCTGCTACGATCCAGGACATCAATCCGCATGAGTCAGTGTACTGACCATGTGCTAGACCTGCTACCTTTCGGGTGTTCATTTAATCGAAGGCTTTGGCTGAAGACCTGAGTCGTTCTCCTGTCAGGTGTGGGCGCCCTGCCAGTATCCTAGTCCATCCTCTTCGGAAGTTGGTAAGTGGTCGATGGCCCTCTTCCCGTAAATCCTAGCCATGTGATACAACAGGTCTACGGGTTATAAGCTCACAGCTCGATTGGCGTAGAGCACGAACACCACCCATTGTCTCTGACTGTGGGAGGACACCTGGTACTAAATGGTTTGCTGCTGCCCGCCTAAAGTCGGTCAGCCCCTGGTCAAATTGGTGTAAGTCCATCACAACCCACCTGCGTCTGGCCGTGGTCGCAGGTGTACTACGCTCGCAAAACATATATAAATCTTTCCAGTACCTTAAAGACTGCGTGTGACGGCCGGCAAGCAGATCCCAATCTGTCTCTACAATCATATTCTCGAATTGGATCTGCTACCCACTATCTTGTGGGTCAGGCTATTGAGCCAAAGTCTCCGGACGGAGTCCCTCAAGCAAACCTCCAAATCATGCACTGCCTTGTGGGTCAAGCTATTGAGCCAAAACCTGCGGGTGGAGTTCCTCAAGCAAACTTCCGAAGTACAACGACCACCTCGCGTGCGATTGCCCACCAATGCAATCGTATGCCTGCGCGCAAAGCACTCAGCATCGGGTGCTGGAACGTGCGCACACTACTGATACGAAACTCCATCGTGCGCCCGGAGTGACGCACTGCACTGGTCGCGATGGAACTGATGCGCTACCACATCGATATTGCGGCGTTCAGTGAGACTCGGCTCGCTGAGCAAGGTAAGTTGCATGAAGCAGGTGATGGCTACACATTCTACTGCGTGGACCACGCCGCCTCAGCACTACCTGAAGATGGGGTCGGGTTTGCAATATGCGATCACCTCCATGGCCAGCTCCTGGGTGAACCAACAGGAATCATCGCGCCTACGACTCGGAAGAGGTAAGTTTGCCACCTTTATAAGCACATACAGTCCGACCATGTGTTATCATGCTGACATGCATGTTCAATTCTACACTCAGCTATCCTCCGTGATACTGTCTGTGCCGAGGAGCGACCGACTATTTCTTCTGGGTGATTTCAACGTGCGCGTTGTGCGTGATGTATCTGGGTGGACGTATGTTATCGGTCTACATGGCATTGGTTCAGCGACTGCGAACGGTGACAGGGTGCTCTCACTGTGTGCCACTCACGGCTTGACGATCACGAACACTCGGTTTCACTGAGTTAGAGTGATATAGCAAGTTGGACGCACCCACGGAATGGTCACGCTCACCTGATCGACTATGTCATCGTACGTCAGAGTGACATGCGTAAAGCGCGCATGATACGTGTACTTCGTGGAGCTGAGTGTGGCACTGATCACAAATTGGTGCGGACCAAACTGCACATATATTTTCGTGACTCTATGTATTTCACTCCCGCCGTGAATTGGCGTAACTTTAACACTCTCTCCCTCGGTACTGTGGCGAAACGTTTTGAGCTGGAGAAGGCGATGGCTTCATGCCTGTATGATGTGGAATGCCTAGCCACAGTGTGCGACCTGTGGCACTACATTCGCGACCAGGTTGCAGTTGCTGCTTAGGATACCATCGGACGCGCAATCTGTTAGCGAACTGATTGGTTTGACGAAAACAATGTAGCGATTGTCGCATTATTGTCGGAGAAGAATGCAGCAAATGCTGCACGAATGGCAGACCACAGTGACTTAATGAAGAAGAGTCAGTTTCACCAGCTATGAGGGCGACGGGCCCGAGAGATCCGTCGTATTAAAAATGCATGGTGTACGGAGAAGGCGAGGCAAATGG